ATATAAACAGTTATGATTTATATATATTTACGTTTAAAATTTCAAGCAATACTTCTTCTCCAAGATTTTTCCACTGATCATTAGATTTGGGAGAATGAGGAGAAGGTGAAACATTACTTGCTCCATGGCCTGACGTGGTAGAAGGTTGTTGTTCCATATCACCCCAATTATCAGCATCCCAGTCCCAATCGCAATCTGAATTTGCGTTTGTAACATTCTGTGGATCGTGTTCATGATCGTGGTCCAATGATGTCATGCTCGTAGCACTACTTGTCGTAGCAGTTGTACTAGCACTGCTTTGTGAACTGCTAGCTTGTTCTATAATTTTGTTACATATTAATATGAAAAAAGTTTGACATTAATGAAAATGATTAAAAAAAAAAAGAAGAAACAAGTTAATTACCCAAAGATGCGGGTTTATTGAATAAAATTTTAGATGCATTATGAGAATTTGATGATTTAGGTGTATCTGATTGACTTCGATAAAATTTAGCAGTAACGGCTGTTACAGCCCACCCAGCCCATGTTGCTGCTGCATTACTAAGGCTAGGTGTAGCTGTATTTACATCTGCCTCTGAAATTATATTATTTAAATTAATAATTATGTGGACTACTGTCTTGCGTTTAGAACTCTTGAATCACACGAGTACCCATAGATTCACGTAATCCAGGATCTTCCGATACTCTTTCAAGCTTTGATAAAAATCCACGAATAGTTCGAAATGCATTATCTCTTACTCCCTTATCTACATCTGTAGTTAGTGGACACAAAGCTGGTAAAATACGATTCGCAACTTCCTGTAGTAAAAAGTATTGCTGTGTTGCAGCTAATGCTAAAATGCTCGCTCCTCTAGCCGGTGGAAACGGATCTCGTGTACCTCGAATAAATGCTCCAATTAATACCTACGGTAACGTTATTACTTGTAACTTGTATTGTTAAATAACAATTTATAATTTTTATATTTAAATAGCAATTACTTTCTGTCTAATTTGAGGATGAAGGTGTTGAGCAATTTTTCCTAAACAAACTGTAGTATTAGTACGTATGCCGCCATGTTCATCTTTCGACTGAAGTTTAGCAAAATACCTTAATGTTTCCACATTAAGATTATTATAATCTAATTTTGGTGCTAAATGTACAACTGATTTTATTGTTTGTTCCCTAACTGCAACATTTGTATCTAGAAAACCTTTGGCTACCTGCAATTAATAATATCAAAATATTTTCGACATTTTGTACTTCTACAATAGATAACTTTTAGTGACCTGTGGAAAAATAGCTTCATTGACTGTTGCTGGTTGTAAATGATCGACAAATCGATCTAATTGTTGTAGTAATCGTAATCTTGTTGCTCTATCGTTTGATGCAAACAGTTTAACAACACATGGTACAACTCTTCGCTGATATTCACCATCAGGTAGTTGACAGCCTAGTTGTAATAAAGGAGGCAATACTGCACTTCCAGCATCCCCAAATTCAAAAGCAGCCAATAATTGAGGCAAAATTTTGTATCTGCCAACGCCGTCTGGAAATGATTCTAACTGACTAGCAAGTTGTGAGAAAAATCGACCCTTATCTCCTCTTTCTTTCATTTGAATTTCTTCTAAGAATAAAAGTGCATCTACAAGTTGATTTTTAAAAAATCCTCCATTACTGCGGCAACGCGCTATTACATCGGCGGGATTTGGTCTTCTTTCTGCATTGACACTGGTTAATTCTCGATATATCACTTGCAATTGCTTTGGAATCTAAATAAATGAAAAAACATAATTATCAGCTCAAATTGAAAAATAAATGTTCATTATATAGATAATAGAAAATATACTTTATCAGTAGTTTTAAGCTGTGAACTCGAACTTAATGGACCATTATATGTTTCCCAGATCAGGCATCCAAGTCCCCACATGTCAACCGAGCTGTTTTTTATTTATTCATCAGTTTCTTAGTATTAACAATAAACCTAAATGTTTACATGTAGAAAAACTAGTATTGTAGTATACAACTTCAGAAATATAACTATCTTCTATTATTTACCAAACATGAAAATTACTTTGTCAATATTTTATATGTGAAATAAGTTGTAGCTATGAACAAAACATTCTTTTGCTCTTATCACAAATTTTTTTACCATTTGGTAGCTGGCTTTACATTTTCTTTAATATCAGGTGGATAATATGCTTGGAATGTTCCTGGAAGTGTGTTATAAGCAACATCTACTGCTGTCATATATTCAACTCCACCAAGCTTCCATTCCCCACTTTCTTCATTAACAAATACTGTCCATAAATTAACATTATTGTGTCTCAAATTACCATCATTATTTAAAAAATTCAATGCTCTCTGTTAAAATATATGCATTTCAATACATATACATTACACAATAATGTATTGTTATATATATATTTTTTCATACATACAGTAATTTGAAATATTCCCCAAGAAAAATACAAATCTCTCTTAGATTCTTCATCACTATCAGATTTCCTTGTTAGTCGATTGTATAAGGATTCTACACGTTCAGTTGCTAAATAAATTATTTTATCAGTCTGAAATTATATGAAACATTAACAGTGTGCATTTTTATTACTGATACAATTAATATGTACAACACACTATTATTATACCTCAAGACTAGAAAGATATGCAAGTATACTTGGATGTCTAAGAGTTTTTAGTCTTTTTACTGCTGAACGAGCTACATCTAGAAGATGTTCATTACCATTCTTACATTCAAAAACAAACACTGACACATCTTCACCTCCTGTAGAACCCTAAAATAAAATATTTTAGACAGTAAGAATAAAACTTTTGGACAGCAAATAAAACTTTTAGTCATTGTTTAAAAATCGAAAATATCTTTTAAAATTTTACGTCAGGTTATAATACCTTCTTCTTAGCTTTGTGTAATGTCCAGATGCTTTTACCGTCTAAACCAGAAATTGGTTCACCGATTTCATATGGAAAATCTTTGGTGGGGTCTCTCGAAAAAAAGGACCACATAATTGCAATTTAACTACTTATCTTGGTATAAATCAAGTTCATCCTTTGACTCAATACCACACCATAATGTCACTGACAGCTACGCATCAACGTATCTTCAACCGCGCTGCTACTTCGCGACGATTATGTATTTAATGTATTACTCGCGTGTAAATCAGTGTGAAATTTAAACAAATGCAGAGATTAAAATTCGTATTATATTTCAAAATATAATTTTTGTCATTTTATTTGAATACATTTTATGTCAAATATTTGTTATTTTTTAATGTTTGTCCCTAAGTATGAACGAAGTTGGTCCATCTTTGGTGACAACTTATACCTTTAAAAGTGGCAAAGAATACATTGTAAAGATAAAAGTTACTGCTTTTGAAGGATGTCAACGTAATTTGGAACTTACTATTACCGATAAATATACGGGCGAAAATTGGCAATCTTCTTATGATGCTGCATGTTTGTTCTTAATTTTTTTATATCTGATACTTAACGTAAATTATTTTGTGGTTATGCTAAAAAAATTTATTATTTCTATTTATTTAGTACAGAATTTTTATCATACAATTATGTTTTCTTTATTAATCACATGTTTCTTTACTTTTAAGACATTGAAAACTTGACACACAAAACTGGAAATTACAAACATTTTGATGTGTTCATAGCTATGTTGCAATCCGGACTATTAAAAGTAAAATTTGTATTTAAATTTTTATATAAAGTAAATGAAGTAAAAAAATGTTAATTACAGACAAGTGAATCTATTAGTTTGGATCTCCTTACATTTAAAGATCTAGAGTTGTTACATGCACGTAAACTTGAACATAATTCATGTTTAAATTTGGGTAACACAACAAACAATCGTCGATATCTTATATTAACATATACAGTAGAATTTGATAGGTGAGTATATTCAGAAAATTAAAAAAATTATATGGACTAAATGTCTGTAAATTAAAAAATATTTGCAAACATAATAACTTTCTTAAGAATTCATTATCCATTGCCTCTGGAATATTGTGGTTTACCTGATCCAATAATATTACAAGCTACTATTAGAAAATTACAAACTGAACTTGAAAGATTACAATCTACAGGAATAAATAGAAATTTGCAAAAACGTGTTGAACAACTTACAATTGCAAATCAAAAACTTATACAAGAGAATCATAGGCTTTCAAATGGAGGTAGAACCAAATATGTATTTGGATGCTTCGTAAATTGA